CCCCCAAGACGTTGCATGTAAATCAGACACATTGATGCCCAGAACTCACTCAATGTGAATGCAGCATTACTAATGAGAAATAGTGATGTATAATTCTGAAGGATCTGCTTTAATAGGTGAAGAGGTAAAGAATCCACAGAAATCTATACCTCTCGGGATTGTGCTGTCCTTGCTGATCTGCTTCTTGGCTTATTTTGGCATCTCGGCCTCCCTGACACTTATGATGCCCTACTATTTGCTTGACACACATAGTCCACTGCCAGTGGCCTTTGAGTATATTGGCTGGGAGCCTGCAAAATATGCAGTGGCTGCAGGATCACTCTGTGCCCTCTCTACAAGGTATGTTTCAGTCAATTGCTAACAGGTTCAATTTAATTATATCATTGTTGTGTAGGAAATGTATCCATAGTGATTGTAAGCCCTGCTTCCACTCCTTTTATTCCCCAGTCTGTTTGGCGTGATGTTTCCAATGCCACGGATAATGTTTGCCATGGCTAGAGATGGCCTGCTCTTCAAGCCACTACGCTACATGAGCACCAGGCAAAGCCCAGTGTTAGCCACACTGTCTGCAGGAGCTGCAGCTGGTAAGGCCATCTGCTTTTGTACCCAAAATTAACTCACATAACCCTGCAAAAATATTCTGCAAGGAATTCTAGGGTTTATAATAGAATAATGTTTAGCTCTAGTTAAGCTTTAGATATTTTGAAGTTGATGTTGTCTGTTGGTGAAGATTCTCAGTCATTCAGGTCATAGTCATTCCACAAAAGTAAAGAAAAAAAAAGAAACAGTACACTGGACTTTGTTTCCAAGTTCCCATCCAGGAAGCTTTTTGAATTCAAAATGTCAGAAAGAGCATTGAGTTCCAGGGTTAATACAGTAGCCCAACATAGCCTTGTTTTTGCTTAGATAACATGCGAATTGAAACGGATGAATGGGTTCACCCCTTTGGAATGGGGGTCGTTTGGCTTCTTTTGTTAGCCTGCAATGCTCCATACCTGTCTATGTCTCTAAAATAGGGGTTGTTAAAGGGAATTTTTGGCCTGGCTGCCCAGGCGAAATGTTTGGTCCCCTGCATGGAGGTTGGGGGTTTCGATTATGGCGGGAAGAAATCAACTTAATTGCTGCATTGTAGGTTTTTGAAAGCTGTAAACCTGATCCCTCCCCCTCTGTATAAAATAGTTTTTTCTTAACATAGATGGCTTCCTTCACACCCCTCTCAAACTACCTATTTTCTTTTTCCAAAATGTGAACATTCTGGTCCTCAAAAGAATGTCCTATGTCTTTAAGGTATAGATGTACTGGAGAGTCTTGTCCCGAGGAGGTCGCTCTTCTGTGTTGGGCCATGCGTCTGTGGAGAGGTTGTTTTGTTTCTCCAATATAAAGATCAGAGCATTCCTCACTGCATTGAACTGCATACACCATATTCAGTCTGGGGGTTTTGTCTTTAGGATGCACTAGTCTCTGTTTAAGGGTCTTGTTTGGTTTGAAATGTACTGGGATTTTATATTTGGAGAAAATCCTCTTGAGTTTTTCAGAGACTCCAGCAGCATGTGGGATGGCGATTTTTATTTTTTTGCGTTTTATCTTACCGTTATGGGCTGCTGCTTGTTGTGAAGTAAAATGAGCGCTGTGAGCCAATATGCAAGGAAGAAATTGTTTTATTTTCTCTGCAGAGGAGAACAACACTCACAATTGAACTGTTAGCGAGGCTCTGGCGAGGTTAATTCTATTTGCCTGAGGAACAGCACAGTCTATTGTCTCATTTCACAGTGTCTTTTGTATTTCCTTGCTGATTTGAAAAACGGCCAGTTTGGGTATTCACAGGTTTCATAAGCATCACTCTATAAAACCTGGAACTCAATGCCATTTCTTTTATTTTGAATTGAAAAAGCTTCCTGATGGGAAGTGAAACGTCTTCGAACTTGGGAGTAAAGTCCAGTGGATTTTGTTTTTACTTTTTTGGATGTTGTCTAATTTGAAAAGTCAATGCTATAAAAAGCAACAGTTTTCAGTGTACCTTTTTTTTTATTCAAATCTTCCATATTTTTTTAGATGAATTGATATATGTGGCACAGATTGGGATATTTAGGTCATTGTACATAATGTTCTATCATAAGATGGGTGGAATTCATTTATTTAGAGCTTTTATGGGCATAGTGACCAATCACACTCAACACATCTTATACTGCGTTCACATCAAAGGCGTTAAAAGCCTTTTTGATGCTCATAACTTCTGGCCCTTCAGTTCTTGGCAGTTCTGGGGCCTTCCGCCATAACATCCAGGGGAGGCTTGATACGGGGGAGGCCCAATCTAGAATAATACTTATTGTTTGTTAGAGCAGGTTGCATAGGAATTTTCATCAGCCTTGAGACTTTTCTTTCTGGCTCAATATTCCAACAATATTCCAAATTTGTTGGGCTTTTCCGCCTTGAAGCGAGCATGCACATCCAAGATATTATCCCATCTCGCCTCTGAGTTCAATCACCACAGCCAACCTGTGTTCAATCGCACTCAGCATATCGCCCAGCTCACGGTCTTGCTCATTTACAGCCTTTGAGAGCATGTCAACCGCTGCTGGTAGCCAGATCAATGCCCAAATTGCCGTTACCATCATCTGTAATTGTAGATACAACAGGTATCCTCCAAATCCAAACAGGAGAAATCTGAGAATCATAAATCTGAAATCCATACATCAACATCCTCCAGTGACAGCGTTGTGAAACACACCATCCTCCAAGCCTTCCAGGAGTCCATGGTGTATCCCACAAAGTACATCCCGGCAGGACAGGAAGGGTCCCCTTTTCCCTGTCTTTTAGTTGAGAAAATTTGATCGATTGCATTGAGGGACCAGCTGACCAGATCCAATGTTTGAATTCAGGTGATATGAAGAGAGAGCTCAGAAAAGACAAGATACAGCAAAGCAAAGGCAGGGAGGAGCAGGAGCAGCAGGAAAATGTGACCGCCTCCTTTAAGTGTCAGAACAGAAAATAGACAAGCCTGCAACCACAAGCCAGACTTTGCTTTAGATTAGATCAGCATTCAACAATAACACCTTTTGTATTTTTTTGGCAGCTTTCATGGTGCTTCTCTTTGACCTAAAGGCACTGGTTGATTTGAGATCAATTGGGACCGTTTTTGCATACTCTTTGGTTGCAGTATGTGTTCTTTTATTAAGGTATGTTTATCCAATAACTGATTGTAATCATTAACAGCTTTCTAAAGGATTGTTTTGTCAGGTTTTAGTAATTTAAGCCTTTATTTGAAATCAGACATTGAAAAGATTCAATATGTAAAAACCTTTACTTGTTTGACTTGTCATTGCAGGTACAAAGAGGAATCCAATCCTGATGTCCAACCAGAAACTGAGCCATTCACAATAATTGGACTTCTCAGGCCTCCACATCAACCCACTCACCGCACCTCTAAAAATGTCAAAATAGCAACGCTCATCATTTGTGAGTTATCCTTCCTCTTTCACTGACAATTCTATTGTGGTCTGTATCCATTGTCAAGTTATATTTAGCAGTTGTCATTTTCATGTTGTCCTCATTAGAAAATCAAACCTTTCCTGATTGATCTAATTTGTCTCCAGTGGTGCTGGTAGTTGCTTTAAGTGTTCTGGTGAGCGAAGCCATCGACTCCCTTTTCAGACAGGAGCTCTGGAGTTTGACGCTTGTCTCAATCCTTCTGCTCATGCTCATCTTTGACGTCATTATTATCTGGAGACATCCACAGAGCACATCTCAAGCCTCCTTTATGGTAACTTGTATAACTGCATAGTAGACATAAATGTAATGCACCCTTTGTATGAACTGTTTGATAATTCACTTAGACCATTTGCTCCTACATGCTGGTGAAGATTCTCAGTCATCCAGGTTATAGCCATTCAAAAAAGTAAAAAAAAACAATTTTGACTTTGTTTCCAAGTTTGAAGATGTTTGGCTTCCCATCCAGGAAGTTTGTTGAATTCAAAATGTCAGAAATAGCATTGAGTTCCAGGGATAATACAGTAGCCCAACAAAGCCTTGTTTTTGCTTAAATAACATATTCATTGAATCTGACCTGAGTGGGTCCACCCCTTTGAAATGGGGGTTGTGACGGGCGCTGCCCAGAGAGTCCCAGGTGCTGGTGTCTTGGAGGTCCGAGGAGAGGCAGGGATCAGAACTGAAAAGACGAAGGAAAGCCAGATAATCCAAAAAACGAAGCCAAAGCCAGTGTTTAAGACTTGCTCGATAGTCAAAGCCAAGAGATCAGAGGTCCGAAGAGGTACCAAAGGGAAATCCAGAATGGAGTCAGGCAAACTGTTTAAGTTTTTGTTAACAGAGGGGAAGAATCCATCAGGAGTCTGAAAACGGATCAGAACATGAACAAGCGGACTAAGAGGTCCAGAGGCTAAACATGTCAGGATCAGACATTCAGAAACACTCAGTAAGGCTAGAGATCTCTCACCACAGGCTCAAATAATCTGGCACTGATGACTGGTTTGAAGGCTGGTTAAATATAGACTGAAGCAGGTGGATCAGATGAACAGTAATTAGACTGGGCAGAGATAAGCAGGTAGATGAAATGAGTTATCAGACCAGTCAGTCTTTACCTGCATGCTTATGAAAAGCAAACTTTTTTTTGTGAGACAAACAAATATCCCTTTTTTCTTTCATCCTAGGTCTGCCAGTATTAAAATTTCTTTCTGGACTCTAAATAGCTTTCAGACCTCCTCAGTCTGTTGCTGGATCACATTTCTCTCCTCAACTGAATCCACCTGCATTAGTCTACTTCTCCTTCCTGCTGCTCCAGTCTATGTGGTGCAGAACAAACATGTTATTTTGACATATTTGGCTGCCACAATTGAATTCTTTGGAGCCTGTTTTCTCTGCGCTCCCATTGTTTCTGTGATTGTACTATCACTTTTCACAGGCCAGAACAAAATGATTCCTCCAAATCTTGTCACCTGAAATGGCAGTTTAATCACCTCACTCAGTAGTGTGGGGAGGGCAGGGCTGAAGAGGTATAAGCATTTAAAACTCAAATTGGTATGCCTTTTGTTACTGTTGTGCTGGATATAGTTTATTTTTAAATCCTTTAGTTTATCATGTGGTAAGTTGATAACCGATTGTTATAGATTCATACAGTAAAAAGTCCATGATAAACACATTTTTGATATTATGAGAACCTAAAAATTTGCATCAGCCTGTCGGGCATATGCCCGGTATGCCCAATGGCCAGTCCAGCCCTAGTTACTTGATTGGAAGTAGGCCTAGAGTTATGATTCTTAATCCTGGTTCAAGTATCGCTGGCCTGTGTTGCAGCACACTTGATTTTGATAATTACATTGCCTCAAAAGCCAATCCAGTGCTGCATTGCCAATTCAATTCATGTTATTTCTATATCACCAATTCACACCACATGTTATCTCTGGTCACTCTACAGAGACAATTCAACAAATGTATGGTGTCAGATAAGTTCAAAGTTTTCTTTCTAAGGAAATCGAGCCAATTACAGTGACTCAACAGCAATCCCTCACCAAAAAATTCTCATCCATCACTGTTGTGTTTGGGTGCTAATAAGATCCAACAAGGCCTTTATCAATGTTTTACATTTTGCCAGACTCCTGTTTGGTGTTCCATCCTCAGGTGATCAATGCAATTGCATGTCAGAATTCTTATTCCCCATGACAAGAATTAACACCCCTCATGATTTGATTGAAATGCCTACATATATAATGCTTTCACAATTCAAAATCTGATTTTTTATTTTTTTTATATGGATCTAAAGGAGGTGCAATGTCATTAGGCAAGGGGTGTTTTCATCTACGATGAATTTTGATCACCAAAGTGTTCAGTGTTATGCAAATTAAAAGACACTAGAGCCAACAACTCAGATGAAGGTTGTACAGTAGCTTCCAAAAAGTAACCGTTAACTAGCTCCAAAGGCGGCCCCGTCCAGGAAACACACAGCCAGGCAGACGAGCTCCAAGCCAGCTCCCATGTCAGAAAATGAAGAGAGCACATCCACTTAGTCACAGTGAAACAGGACTACCCTAAAAAACAGGCCGAGCTCCATCATTTATAAATAAAGGTGTTGATGGCAGCAGCACAGCTGATATTTCTCTCCAGGATGGAGAGAAATATCAGCTCCAGGATGGAGAGAAATATCAGAGCAGAACATTATAGATTGAAATAACAAATACTGCAAAATGGGAGAATAGAAATAGAATGATGAAAAGGGGTCCTCCATCAGTCTAAGCCTATAGCAGCATAACTAGAGATAGTTCAGGATAACCTGAGCCACTCTAACTATAAGCTTTATTAAAAAGGAAAGTTTTAAGGCTAGCCTTAAAAGTAGACAGGGTGTCTGCCTCACGGACTAAAACTGGTAGTTGGTTCCACAGGAGAGGAGCCTGATAACTAAAAGATCTGCCTCCCATTCTGCTTTTAGAAATTCTAGGAACCACTAGTAAACCTGCAGATTGAGAGCGAAGTGCTCTGTTAGGAACATAAGGAACAATCAGATCTCTGATATCAGATGGAGCTTGGAAGGAGGATTTTAAATACAATTCTGGATTTAACAGGAAGCCAATGAAGAGAAGCTAGAAAACTGAGAAATACCAGCACCGTTGTTCTTCCACAGTCTGAATGTCACCTTAATTAGGGCAGTCTCTGTACTGTGGCTGGCACAGAAACCTGACTGATAGACGTCAAAGCAGTTGGTCATTAAGAACACATCTAACTATTAAACTGCAACTTGTGTATTTACGTAATTTAAAAAGTTGTTTTCACAGTAATAGGAAACGTTTGAGATGGGCCTGTAGTTCTGCAGGAGCAGTTTATCGCAGTCTCCCTTTTTCAACAATAGTTAGATAATTGCTGTTTTTAAGGCCTGGGGAAAACACCCAGCATTAGGGATGTGTTTATGACTTATATAAACTCAGACTCTCAAATAGGTAAAAACCTTTTCAATAAAACCTGTAATACATATTAATAAAAGTTTTAAGAGAACTTTCATTTTGTGTCAGAATTCTATAATATCACTTTGTGAAACTAAAGATTAAAATATTGAGCTTTTTTGCAATATTATTATTTTTTTAGACATTGCTGTAATCTTTGATGGCTGTCCTGTGCTTGACTTATACTTTAGGCCCCCTTTCTGTTTTTTCTCTTTAGTGCGTCCTTCTTGTCAAAAAAACAAAAACAAATCTCTATCTCCTTTGAAGTAACAAATCACATGTTTCATCTGTTTTTAGGTCCCTGGACTTCCGTTTATTCCAGTCATTAGTATCTTCATCAATACCTACCTGATGGTTCGACTTGGAGGAGAAACATGGATTAGCTATTCTATTTGGATGGCAGTCGGTAAATAAGTACTTTTTTAAAGGAGTCATAACTTGGTACTTTAAAACTACAGTCTTGCTAAAATTGTATTTAAGTAATTGTTTAAAAAATAGGAGAAAAAAAAACAGAAGTTGTTCCTAGCACCTTAGTCACCCCCTTTTTTTTCGTACACACAAGTTTGAGTTGTGGGCGTGAGTGTACATATGGACAGAGATGTCAAAAGTATTATTGTTTTTTACTCCAGTAGAAGTAGAAATCCTTCTGTTTAAAAACACTTTTGTAGAAGTTAGAGGGTAAACTTAAGCTTTTTACTCAAGAAAAACTGTAAAAGTGAAGTTTTCAAAACTACTTAAAGTATAAAAGTAAAAGTAATGCAGGAAAAAAAGGTAATGGACAGAAGCTTTACTGCACTACTCTATTAAATGAACATTTTTCTACAAATCTGGCTGAAACCTTGCTTAGATTTCATTTTCTTAATTTATAACTAATGGTAACAGTGTCAAATTTAACTTTTCATCATCTTGAAAAACTATTTATTTTGGCATGTGGTGAACAACTAATTGGGGCAGCACCCATTCCAACCACAAAAAAATTGTCTAGATGAAACTAATTATTACGGAAGAGTATTGCATTGACCAAAGAAAAAAAATCAGACAGCTAATCTCATAAATATGAGATCAGTATCTCATAATTATGAGATTTTACCTCATAATTATGAGATAAGATCTCATAATGAGATAAGATCTCATTATTATAAGATATTTTTAGGAGATCAGGAAGGGTTAGGGTTAGGAAGGACATTCATTGCCGAGCTACGCTACATGAAATGTGAACAATGAGAGCATTGTCAGATTTAATTTTATTTTTTATTTCCTTTTTGGTATGTGACACCAGGAAATACTGAGATTCCTCAATGTGGATGGTATTAAGATTTTGTTTGTCAGCATTGCGCAGTAAGTCCTTAGAATTATTTAGGCAAAAAAACTTGACTTGCTGGAAGTCGCATTGTTCCGGAAGGAGCAATTGAGCCAGCACAGGATGCTTAATGTGGAGGTGTTCGACAGGGGGTCCGCAACCCCTAGGGGGTCCACGGAGGTACTGAATGTGGGTCTTAAAAGTTTTGGTTGATTAGAATTTTTTTATATATATATATTCTCCCCCTGCAAATGTTTCCACTAATTGAAATGTCTTTAAATCCACATCAACATGAATTCAACACACTATAGTAAACAGATAAATGGAGGCAGAAGATGTCTTTCAGTCATCAATGCTCACATTCAGCAACACACAGGAGCTCTTTCAAGCTGGGCACCGTTTCATTCACAACACCTCTCCCTCAACCAGGAATCAGAAATACTTTAATAATCCCAGGGAGAAATTACTTTCATTACATTACTCCATCTGTAATAGAGTGAATATGGGACCAGTTTGATATAACACAATCATACAATATATATAATTAGGAGGTTCCCGCTCCATCTCGCCATCAGTTTGGCAATCCTTGGGCTGGAAAACATTGAAGACCCCTGCTTTACGGCTATAAATTAATGCATCTGAATTGCATTCCAGCTGGCTTAGTAGTGTCCCAAAGAACTGTCCAACAGTACCTTCTCAAAATCCTAGATCCTCAAGGAGAACAGCTGAGGCTTCAAGATCATTTAAAACGACCAGGTCCCAACTTCATGTAGCATGTCGATTCATATGAAAAACTAAAACCCTATGGAATTTGCATTAATGGAGCTGTTGACAGATTTTTGCGTATGGTCACATGGCTGCATGCTGACAGAAGTAGTAATCCCAGGGTTACAGCTGTGCACTTTATTAATGAAGTGAAAAACAGTAGCGGAGCTCCAACGCGTATCAGGTCAGACCTCGGTACAGAGAACTGTTCAGTGGAACAGATGCAGATATTCTTAACAAGTAATCATGAAGGCCTGTTCAATAAATGCTTCATTGCTGGCTCAAGTAATCATAACCAAATACATAGATAAGATCTTGTAATAACGAGATCTTTTCTCATAATTATGAGATAAGATCTCATAATTATGAGTTAAAGCGTCTGACTTTTTTTCTTTGGAGAATTCAATACGCTTCCGTAAATTATTTTGATGGATTTTATTATTTTTTATAAATACCAATAGGACACAATGAAAATGAGCTTAAATGAAACAAACCTAACAGGTCTATTTTGAAAATGTAAGGAGTAGAAAGTAGAGATTATTGCAAAAAAAAAAAAAAAAAAAAGTAAGGATTAGAAGTAAAAGGTTGCATACAAAATAAAATTGTGTAAGGTAACAAAGTATTTGTACTTTACTTGACACCTCTGCATATGGATGTGGTGTTGGCACACTAGCATTTTGCCATGGATTGTTTACTATTAATTCCTGGTTCTTAAAAAATAGGTAAAAAGTTACACAAGCTGCACACTCTGTGACTATCTGCAAGTGTGTCCCTGATTGGTGGAATAGTGTGGAATTGATGGCGCTGGAGTTTTTCCAAGGGGAGCTAATGTTGGCACCCTTCCAGTATTGATGTCAGTACAGGATAACTCGTGGGCTTTCATGGGTTGAACGTCGAGCCCACAAAAAAAACACTCAGGATTTTCTGAAAGATGTCAATCGAAGCCCAATAACAACACACGAATGTTACCAAAGAAAAAGTACGATTTCTGGGTGATGACTCCTTTGTAAACACACTATATGAAGCACGGGTAAAATATTTGGGCTATTTCTTCTTCCTACAGGATTGACTGTATACTTTGGCTATGGGATTCGTCACAGCAGCCAAAGACGAAGAATCCTGGAAATGCGCAGCGTCATCCATAATGCTTATGTAAATAACAGTGTAGTTACTTCTGCTGCTTGATATCCAGTTACGAAATAATGTGTCCAAAGATTTTAAGATGATCAATAAATCACCTTTAAATGCATTTTAATGTTTTATTCAGGCTCCAGCCAGAGCTACAGATAGTTTTAGACAGTCTCATCTGAAGTATGTTTAATGCTAATATGGGTCTACAAGCCTATTTTAGTCCAGTCTTGCTAAAATACACAAAATGATCATTTTATTCTGTATAGCTTGATCAGTCATTCAAGGTTGTCTTATATCGACTTGTTTAATATTTAAGTTAAAACATTTTTTCAAAACAAATTTTTTGTAAAAGTTATTTATATGAAATAAATTTGTAATATAAAATTAGTTCACTTATTTTTATTATTTGAGTGCATCATAGTTTCTCAGGATTGTAAAGGTGCATTTACTCCAAATGCCAATTTTGCAGGTGGATTGAATGATTTCTATTTACTCTCTATGTAGAGCGTAGGTCTTCAACAGGGGGTCCGTGACACCTAGGGGGTCCACAGAGGTACTGCATGGGGGTCGCAAAGTTTTGGTTGATAACACTTTTTTTTTTTTTATATTCCCCCCTGCAATTTTTCCATTAATTGAAAAGTCTTTAAATCCACATTAACATGAATAAAACACACTGTATTAAACAGATAAATGGAGGCAGAAGATGTCTTTCAGTCATCAATGCACACATTCAGCGACACACAGGAGCTCTTTAAGCTGGGCATCGTTTCATTCTTAACACCTGTCCCATCAACCAGGAATCAGAAATACTTTAATAAAATCAAAGAGAGGAATTACTTTCATTACATGACTCCATCTGTAATAGAGTGACTATAGGACCAGTTTGATAGAACACTATTTCATTCAACATATATAATTAGGGGGTCCCCGCTCCATCTCGCCATCAGTTTGGGGTCCTTGTCCTAGAAAACGTTGAAGACCCATGATGTAGAGGATGGCTCTCGAGCAAAGGCTGCCTGCCGCCTGGAATCTGGGGTCTGGAGGAATAGCGGTCCGCCTGGTCCAGGGTCTTGGCGGGGGGCAGTTGCGGGGCCTGGGTGGCCTGCAGGTGCTGTCATTTCTGCTCTCCCCAAAGGGGGGTGGAGGGAGGGGCGAATAGTGTATTGAGGGGGAGGAAGTAGCTGGGTGAATTATTTTGGGGGGGTCTTGTTTTGTGTGCCTGTGCAGGACATGTGGGCCCCATCCCTGGTGGGGCTTCTGCTGGGTGCTGTCTGGTCCGGGTGCAGGGTGGGGGGCCGGGCCCGAAGCAGAAACTAGATTGGGTGGTGTGGCGGTGTCACCGCTCCCCTCCCCCCCATCTGGATTTGAAGTTCACTTAATGGGTCATCCGGTAATCCCGGGACCGGCCACCGGTGCCGCCAGGTCCTCGGTCCTGGGATTATTGGATGCGAGTGTCATGTGTGAATGAGCGTCCACGTTGGGATTTTTTTTTTCATTCACAGAGACTGTGTGTTGTGAGTGGGGGCTCTAGGGTAGGAAGGTGTGATTGAGACTGTGTGTGTGTGTGTATGTATGTATATGTGTATATATA